GAATAGCCCAATAAAATCATGCAAATACAACATCTTCCGAGCCCTTTGTTATTATAAATAATGTTATCATAGAATATTAAATTATTACTATTAAAATCGGTAACCACACGCTCAAAAGTTAGATACTTCACGGTATCTTATAGTTTGTGAGGTAACTTGTGATTTATTATACAGTATAACTTGATGTAAAAATATGGTTCAGCCAATCGGAGATAATTATTTTAGATGCACGACACGGCACAGTGTAGTGTGAACCCGGCTTTAGACTTGTTTTTAACAACTATACGTAGAAAGAATGACCATTTGATAAATATATTTTCCGGCTTAAACCTTTTTCGACCTTACATCAAATAGACATACTGAATGTTGTTGATGTAGCAAGTGTACAAATTACGCAGGTCATAGTAAGATTTGAATACAACGACCACAGTATGGTTAACAATAATTGTTAAAAATTATTGTCCCATACTCCCGTCACATTTCTCAAAACAAAAATTATCATACAAATACAAACGCAGCAATCGCTGAAGTAAATATTTTACGTTCATCTTATCAAATAGCAGGTTAGTAAGCTTTATTAAAAACATTTTCATATTGAAATTATATAATAAATACAATAACCACATGAAACCGAACTCGGTGTGGTATGTACATGCAATTAATGTTCAGCATTAAATATGGCTAGTGCTACACGCATTTAACCCCGCACGGTCGAACGATATAAATTCGATTCCGAGTATTATGACCGGCCAACTGTCGGTGGTCTTATGTATCATATATTTTCTAACTTTCCCAATGCTTTTAACAAAATTGGTAAACATATATATTCGATTACAAAGGACTGTTTTATCTAATTAATTTTACTACACACAGGTTACGCACCTATCGAAGTCAGTAGAACATATCACATAATATATTGTGTGTATTTGTATGACGTTTAAATAAGTAAATAAATGAAAAATAAAAATATCAACATTTTTTTTTTTGTTTTATATTTTTGTATGAATAATGAACTACGTTACATCCTATGTTTAATCAATACATACATGCACAAGTGCATTATATATGTTACATAGGTTATTGATTAAATAACTTTGTGTACTATTCAATTTTTTATTTTTTCATCTTCTTATCTTTCTCATTTTCTCAAAGACATTTCAATAAATTAGAATATATACAATTTTATAAGTGTACTATATAAGAACTAAGGGCATTGTTTTAATAGAAGTTTTCAATGACTTTAAGTTATTGAAAGCAAATTCAACATTTTCGTGCATTTTAAAAAAATATTTTTTTACTTCTTTCATTGTTACCGTATAGTTTAATAAATGTATAAGCTTTTTTTTTTTTTTTATTGGAATTTTGTTTGAAAACAATAAATTTTTTATAAACCTTATAATATGCTATTTGAAATAAACAGCTATTAATAGAAACTAATTAATTACTTAGCGGAAAATAAACTTTTATTTATGAGGTTTATATTATTCTTATGTTTTCATGTTTTCATTATTTTAAAGCTAGTAATTTTTAGCAAAAATTAAAAGTAGATAGGTTTATATTCTTATTTATTTAGATCGATCTACGCGTTAGTTGAACCCAAATAATAAAAGCACTATAGATTACTAATCCAATGTTTTTATACGTTTTCCGAACATGTACGCAGAACAATATCGATATAGCGTAGGATTTGTGAAAGCTTCACAACGGGGGGGGGGGGTAGCTGTATTATTGTAATAGGCAAAAGCTTTATGAATCGGTATTGGTTGCCAAGCTATAGTATTTATGTTAAGACCACAGCAACCACATAAATCTGTTTTGATGGCCTATACAATAATCTTGGTAAAAGTACATAATAAATATTATATATATATTTTTTATAATCACTTTAACCCTTCGAGTCCGGCTTTAAGAAAAAATGAAAAAAGTAATTTTTTTTTTTTTGATAGAACCTTTTATTATAGTCTAAATAAAAACTCTGATTTTTTTTCAAACTTTTTTTTTTACCCTTCCCCTTTTTTTAACTGGGACTCATATGTCCCACCGGGACTTTGTGCATGCTGATTTTGAATTCATATTTCTAATTGTAATATATGAAAATAATTTTAATTTTAATATTATAAGATAAAAATGAAGTATTTATGATTTAAACAAATGTTTAGGAAGTTATATTTCGTAGTATATAGTCGTAGTTTCATTACCATGGTAGTTTGATGCCAAATATACAGCATTATTATCTTTTCATTTAAATACACCTATTCCAGAATTAGAAAATCTACTGTCGAAATTTCCACGTACTATATCTGAATCTTTTTTAAGATTTTGTGGCATTTCTTTACGATTATTTCGTATGCCACAAGCCAACGGGTAAGAGACCATGAGGACGCTCGAGGAATAGATGAATGGACATGGTCAAGAAAGATTTAAAAAGAATAGGAGTAAATAATTGGAGAAATATAATTCATGATCGAGAGAAGTGGCGTGAATTTGTGATGGCGGAAAAACTCTTGCAGAGTAGATAAAGCCAGAAGAAGAAGAAGACCACAAGCTAATGTCATTTCATTTTTTTAATGTTTCCAAAAGTGAAATTTATGTGAAATAGTTATCAAAAATATTATTCTATGTTGTTTTCAAAATGGTTTAGTTAACATAAGTACTACCCTTTCGTCCAAATTATACTTATCAAATTCTTGTTCCAAAGTTTAATTTTTGCCTTGGTATACTGAAAATTTAAAATGTAACCTTTTTGATCTGCAATGCACCATAATTTATATCCACGTTTAATTGGTTTCATGGGATTGTATTGTTTAAGTGTACTTCGACCCTTAAATTTTATCATCGATTCGTCAACACCTAATTCGAGAGTTCCATGATATGCTTCGGAGAAAATTTTGTTTAGAGCATCAATGATAGGACGTAATTTATATAATTTGTCTTAATTATCTAGTAAATTTGAATTGTTATTAAAGTGAATATTTGATATAATTTCTCAAAATTTCCCTAGACATGGCTTTAGAAATTGAACCTACATTTAAATCTTCATTTGTATTCCAATACAACTTTTATGATGGTAATTTATTGTACCCCATGCAAACATTTATTCCCAAAAATGTATATAGTTCTTTTTCAGTTAGTTTCAAATTTTTGTTATTTTGTGTTGCATAAAGATTAATTTAGTTCACAATGTTATCGAAAATAGGATGAATACATATTTTTACAATTAATATAAACAATAATCCAGATTTCACTCTAAAAGGTACCATGTAAATATATTGGAAACTCCAGAATTAAAATTTATAGTTATATAGTCATGTACTATTATAGGTTATATTATAAATCAGAGTACTTCATATATGACATTTATGTAATATATCATAATATGTAAAGAGTTAATTATTCATTTATTAAAAATTAAAATTATACGAGTGTATAGGTATATAAATATATATGGGAAAATAATAATAGACCTCCCGTAATTTAACAAATACGGTTTTATGATTTAAGATACAGTTATTAAACTTGATAAGGAAGAGAGATGTGGAAATAATATTCTATTATTTGTGATATCGATATTTTTGAAGTTGGTTTGAATTATTGTATTACTTATTATTAGGGCTGAGATTTTAATGCTCTAAAAGTAGCAAAAAATGCTTTAAAAATCATAATAATACGTTTAAAAATGTATTTATTATAGTATAATAATTATATTATAAAAATTATATTACCAAACATATTTAATTATATTTATTTAACATAATAATAAAAAAATCGGTGCTTATTTGTTTAATATTTACATTTTATTTAAATTTATTTAAATCTTAACTTGCTGTTAAAATCGTCATTAGACTTTTGTAAATAAAAATATTTTTTCGACTATATTAATTTTGTTCTATTTTTGATAAAATAGGAACATGGATCGATGTATTCGTATTTATTAATTTATCAAATTAATGGATTACTAAACGTGTAAGTTTTAAGCGAAAAAATGCCGAAACGCATGATCAAATACCTACCTTAATATATATTTAAAAATTTAAATTCTTGGTAAATTCTGAAAAATGCTCTAAAAACTTGAAAAATGTCCTAAAAATAGCAACATATGCCCTAAAAATGCATATAAAGTTAAATTTGTCATAAAATGAAAAAAATTGCAAAATAAAAACTACATTAAATTAAGCAGTATCCCTTGAAACAAATTTTAGTCTTACGAACTTATGTGTTTGAACATCAGAAAAAAGATGCAATTGCATCAAAATCCAACTTCTACTTATTATCTTAGTGATATAATTATAACTATATTACAGTAATAATACATAGTCACAACAGTTCCTTTTAAATAGTACATCATATTAGGTATACTATACAGGTAATAATTAATAATATATTAATTTACATATATTTGCATATAGACAAATACAAAAAAAATGAATAATGATTTATAGATATAGGCACCTAAATTATATTATAATTATGTAGGTTATATTAACATTGATGTTATTATGACAATATAATTTAATTATAGATCAAAAATATATAATTGTAACCATACATTATGTCTTTAACAAAGATTGAAATTCAATAAAAATGTGAAGTTGAAGAAATAATTGTCCGAGCGAAGTAGGGAAAAATTTTTTTTTCTTATTCTTATTTACATATTTCTTTATCAATATACATAGAGGCCCAAAATGATTTTGCTTTCCTATTTATTGACCTTTAACACGCCCTTGGTATATCTTACTACGGTTATAAAATGTATAAAATTCTTATGCCATTTATTGAATATTATATAATTTTAACTATACCATAGATTCTTTAAATTAGCTTATTGGTTTCATTATTATCATAAAATTGAATTTAATAAATGTTACAAAATGTAACGCTATATATAACGATTTCGACCTATTAAAAAAAAAAATTACAGTCAGAAATTTAAACTCAAATTTAATGTCATATTTTTGATGAATTCTAATATCTCACTTTTTAATGTTTTTTAACAGGTTTATTAAACTATAAAGAAAACGGAACTAAAATATTTACTGACATCTTAAAGGAGCACACAACTGATATAATTATGTTTTGTTTTTGATAATTGGGACAATAATGTTGTCATGATTATAAGAAATAGGTTGGTAAAACAATAATACAAAAAATATTAATACTTTGAAGATTTTAATACTCCATGAGTAGCTTTGTGACTTTATCGGACCCTTACAACATAATTTGAATATTAAATTATTTGTACAGTGTATGACCAGAAAGTAAGTTCTGTCGGATAATAAAAGTACGAGTAAGTAAAACATATGTATAAAAATGATTTTATTTATGCACTTATGACGGAGCACTAGTTTTTGTATTCCTTCATCATAGAAAGATGCTACCTTTGATTACAACTACGAATGATTACATCTTCTTTTATCTTGTCGTCATCGTTGAATTGTTGGCCACTAAGAAATTATTTTCTGATATACCTCGTATAAACTTAGGATTAACTGAAGTCGTTTGAATTAGCGACCTATTAAAAGGATGTTCCGCGTATCAAGAACTTAAAATATTAATCTTAACGTTATTGTGACCAGTAGCGTAGATACAATTCTTTTCTGGGGGGGGGGGGTATTTAAGAGTAAGTTTTTAAGTGTTCGTAGTATATCTTAAAACGAGATCATATATAATATTACATTTAAAATAGTGTTATTATGTCCCGTATTAATGAAAATTATTTTGTTATTCAATTTTTAATATATACCTAATCATAGTAAAATCAAAATATTTTACTATAATACGTATATATAAATATTAATAAATAATAATCAAATATCATTAAAAAAAAAATCTGTGGGGGGGGGGTGGAAACCCCTTACACCCTCCCCGTAACTACGCCACTGATTGTGACTATAGGTACATGTTTAACTTACGTAAAATTGGCTATTGTTACAAGTAGAGCCCGGTAACGTCGTGCGTCATATTTTAATTATTCTGCATAAATCATTCAATTATTTTAGTATAAACGTTTTATCAATCCATGTTTCATAAAATTGAATACACTACTAAATTAAAAAAAAATAATTTTTGGAGTTTTGTGCTCCTTTAACCATCCAATTATCTTTTTTAAAGATTTTTAATTTCTTCTCTATCCGATTCATTTACCAACATTTTTTCTGAAAATCTAAAATTCTGAAAAACTCGACTAATATACGTTGTCTTTCATCTGTATTAAAGGCGTATCCATTTTTCTGACTTTCCAATATCTGAAAACAGTAGTATTATAAAATTAGTTTGGCGTTCAACACGAGCCTAGACATGAACACAGAATGACCCAGGAAAATAAAATTTCGAACGGTCTTGCATGCATTTTTAAACGTAGTTTTCGCTCAGTTGCAGTACGGTGCGGTCGTTTCAGTCACCTAAGAACGTCTGTAAAACTTACCAGTGAATCTACGTCATTCGCAGAAGATTTCTGGTACATGAACGGAAACCGGCCGACGACCAGACGGAAAAGCAGTACCCGAGGCGGCCCACACGTAGGCCAGCTGCGCGTTGTACGGGACGCTGGACAAACGTTCCGGCGACATGTACATCAGGGTGCCGCACGCGGACAGGTTGACGGCCTGACGGTTGCGACGCCGTCGACGGCGCGCCTAACCTAACCGCGGCGTTTTGACGACCATGCACACTCGAAGACGGCCAACCGGATATTCTTCCGCCGGTTCAGCAACACCTTCTCCATCTTGACGTCCCGGTGCCTAACCTAACCGATGCCGAGCACAACTGCGAGAACCACTCGTACGCCACCGGCCGTGTGATTCACTTCCGCGGAATAGTTCCATAGCGTGCCGTCCGGGTAGTAAGTCCATGATCATGTACATTCTGTTCGGTACGGTCCCGGCGACGCGTCCGACCACGTGCACAGCGCATGGTTTTTTCGTAATGAAAAACGCATTAATGGTTAGTTGGTTGCACGCAGGTGCTCATGCGGCGATTCGAGACCGTCGTCCGAGTAGTCACTTACTTTTAATTATACGTTTTCGGCCATATTCACTGGTTTGTACTACGACTACAACATTTGAATTACCTAAAGAAGAGGAAAAACCTGTCAACATTTTTTTAATTGAATCTGACTGTTTTTCAAGTTCAGCTTCTTTTTTATATTTTCTTTTTTTATATTTTGTACCTGAATGTCGCTTATTAAAATCCGATATAGTGCTTTACTTTTTACTCTATCAATACAAAATTCGATGTGTAAAATAAACTTTTAACCAAAACATGGACAAATGGCTAATTTGTCTATATTTAATATTTATGTTCAAGTAACTTGTAATTTTTTCATATTTTAGGTAATTTTTTGTAGTTTTTATATAATGTGGGAGGGGGGGGGCATTTTTTTCTTAAAATTTTAGATTTTAAAGAAAATTTGTATAATATTCTAAAATATAATTGTATTACTTTTATTGTGCGGTTTTTGCTGTGATTAAATTTCTCACGTACCGATAAATTATAAGATTATAAAACTTGTGATTTTCAAGATGTACATAAATTTAAATTAAGTGTTAAAAACATATTTCTAAAAAAACCATAAAGAATAAAAATATTTGACACTATAGCTTCTTGAATTCTTTTACCACTGAACCTGTACTCACACACTTGGGAATTAAATTAGAATATTTTTTTTTATATTTAAAATTTAAATATATACTATTGTCTATTAATACTACAATTAATATTTTAAATTACTCTGTTACCCATTATCACACCTATATCTCCAATAAAAATAATAATTTTTAATTTTCAATTATTTTCACTTACTGAAGTAAATTCCCATATTGTATGGTTTATAAATTATTACTTTTTTTAATACTACATAATATAATATGACATAGTATCAGTCAAAATAATATATAATACGTATACATTATTTTGGATTTACAATAAGTAAATAAAATGAGTGATGATGAAAAATACATATTTCTATTTATAAACGATGCCACCCCTAAAATTCTAAAAAAATTTGACGCCCTGCGAAATCGCACAGGTCGCATGTGCTTTCCGCCGGCCATGAGGATATGAGAAAGTTGAAAAAGGTTGAGTACACCTGTTTTAAATACAGTTAAAATAATATGATTATACCGCTATCTAGTTACAAATACTAACAATGCCATATCATAAATATCGTATGAATTTGTAAGTACTACTGCCATCTTGTTGTTAATGGTAGAGTGTTAAAGCCAATAATCAATACATTCGTTTTAAATATATCATAAACCAGGTATGTAAACAAAATACAACATTCATACAATTTAAATTTTCAAATAAAATTTAAAAGAAATATTTTCCAACTTTTCTTTTTAATAAAGAGTATTTTATAGATAACTTGATGATATCAATAATTTATTTTCTTGTGAACAAAAATACATTATTTTCTTTCTTTTTTTTTTTGGGGGTTTAATGAGTCTTTAAAGTCATCCCGTCTTACATATTTTACTAATATGTAAAATATTTTATTTTAATATTTAATCAAGTTCACAATTATTGAATAATAATATGCCCATCTAAATTATATTTAAAGTTAATTTTGAAATTAAATTATAAGAAAAATCGTGTATCATAAAATTCCAAACCCAAATAAAAATTGTAATATTTAGAGTATAAAATGATTATTGAACAAAATTTGAGATGAATAAATTTTTAATCGATTTTAATTGTAGATTAACTGGACAGTATTATATTATATTAATTTATTTGAATTTCAATTGTATCAGTAGGTTTGAGACAAAAGATAGTACTTAGGTAGTAATAGATCTTATGAAAAAAAAAAAGAAAACTATAGCTATATAAATTATGAAGTTTATTTTTTCAGTACATATTAAAGTAAAAAAAAAAAAAACATTAATTTCCATTAAATTCTAGTGTTCTGGACGAGGATAACATTTGTTTTATAACAATCGTCATGATACAAGTAACACTGTTGTGATGGTCGCGTTTTGTGTATATTTTATCGACGGCAAATCCATTTCCACGGTAAGAAGATTTTAAATAACTGCCCACGTCCAAGCTTTTTGAGCTTAACAAGTGTGTTTTGGTGCACGTAAAGTCGTTTGTGCGCCTGTCCGTTGAAGGTGGTGGTTGGGTGGAAACGGCAGGAGCGTATCATTCATTTTATCGAGCGCGCCCACCACCCGTCGACCATCTTTGTCAGTGTACGGTTTTCTGATACAATACAGTAGTCCGGTGGTGGTTTCCTCGGAAAAACCATAAGCACCTCTATCCATTGTGCACGCGTTCGTCAATTCGTCCGCCATGCCTGCCACGGGATTCGTGAGCCAAGACCCTGTTGTCGAAAAAACCGAGTACATCGTGTTTCCAAGTGAGTGGTATTATTCGTACGACTAACAGGATCGTATTATCGTTATTATTATTGTTAAAACTATGATTATTGTCCGTAAGTTTTATCGTAGGTACGCATGAGAATAAAATAAAAAATAAAAACATATTATAAATATTTATACGTGATATTATGAGGGACACTTTACGTGTTAACAACTTCATCATCATCATGTGATGTGGTGACGAGAATGGAAAACTACGCATAGGGGCGCGTTAGTAAAGTGTACGTCGTGTGAGGGTTATATTGCAGTTATTTTTGCACAGTTCGAGCGTTGTAATATTTATTAAGTACAACATATAGTCAATTGATAATGCTCTCTATGGTTTATGCCTAAAAATAGTTAACGTGATGTATTTTGGATAGCGTAAACGATCTTGAAATGTTGTACTATTTAAAATTGAATACAATTTTTAGACCACAAATGTTCTCGTAAACAATACGTTTACACAACAATTAATCATTTTTAATACTTTTTTCTTCTCAGGCACGTAATTTAGAGGGGTAGGAACGATTACCCTCCTCTCAAAGATTGTATTTTAATAACTACGAATTAAGATATACAGTATATACCACTTGATTGTAAATGATTTACACCCCATTAATTTTGAAGAAGGTTAATTAACCTCCGCTCCCCAAAAAAATAAGCTTCAATTAATGTGCTTATTTTTTCTTCAAATTAACAACACACACACACATAACTTTAGAATGTATGTGCATTACAGATACAATCGAAAAGATAAAATAAATGTTAATAGAATCTTATCCTTCCGGAATTTTATTACAAGCCGAACAAATATAATATTTACTTTTGAAGAATAAATATACAAATTCCGATTAATTTATTACTCATATGTATACTTATAAATCAAAATATAACAATAATCGAAAACCTATATGAATATTTTTTAAGAATCGCATCATATCATAAATCATTATTAAATATTTTATTGCTTAGCCAATTATACATACGTTACCGTTTGGCTATTAAGACATAATTTAGATCATTAGAATAAGTTAAAGAACAAAAAAATTAAACTGTGTTAAATTACGTTAAAAAAATACTAATGAATCTTTATTATGTATGATTGATTGAATTAAAAAAAAAGGTTACGTGTTTTTCGGTATATTTTTTTATAGAACACTGATCAGTCAAACTAATGATTGAAATTCGCAAAAAAAAAAAAAAAAATGTAAAACACACGTTTTTTAACTAGTTAAAGTAAAAACGAACTGTATTGAATGGAGGGTATCGACCAAATTTATAATTTGAATGTTCTTTTCCATGACCTGCTTATAAACAACATTTACAAAATGTTTTGGATTATACTCTAAATTTACCCTACTTTTTCCAGTATATATGAATAATTTCAGGTACGAAAAAAAAATAAAGTGTAACATATTCAATATACAACGTATTACCAACGTGATATTAAATTCTAGTTTTTAAATGTTTCATTTTTTTTAACATACCGATTGGCCAGTTGATGCAATAATAATTTTCGAAAATATATGGTTTATAACCTATATGTTTTAATTTGTTATTCATAATTTGTCTATTTTAATTTGACTCTGATTTTTCTGATTTTGTTTCTTAACATTTTACTAAATAGAATTAAACAAATTGGAATTCTAAAAATCAACAAAAGTAAATTTTTTTTATGTTAAATACAGCATTTAAAAACTTGAAACATATTTAGAAAAATTGTTCTCAGTAGGTATTTAATAATTGTAATTATTATACTCTTCCTTCAACTATACGAGTAGAATTTAATTATATGTTAGTTTATATCATTAATATACAATAGAAATCAATAATTAAATTATACATAAATTAATAGTATTATAAGCGTAAATTCTGAGAAAAAGTTACTAATTTTAATATGAGGAGTTCTTAATTTCTTTCAGTCTATCGATTTTGTAATAATAAAAGATTATCAAAAGTTTTACAAAAAAGCTCTAGAGTACAAATGTATTGAGAACACAAAAATAATATTAAATTAATGATTATAATATTTTGCAAGATTTTGTGAATTTTTATGTGATGTATAGAAAGATATAATTTCTTAACTATTTGAAAACACTCATAAGGTTTTTTTAAATTTGATATCAATCTTAGAGAAGACTAACAGTATGAAGTATTGTAAAATTTGCAAGGCTATATAAAATATAAATATATTAAGTTGGAAAAAATGTTATAAAATAAAAACCGTCTAATTTAGTGGGTTTAAACTTTTTTCGAATTGAAACTCCCACATTTTTTATTTTTTTGTAATGCAACCCCTCCAAAAGAAAAAATTTGTTTTATTTATCAAAATTTGATTGAATTGCCGATAAAATATTTACACGATAGTCAATTTTGATTTATTTACATTTAAAAATTTCACAAAATAAATAATTAACTTTATTTTATTTTTAAATAATATGGAAAAATTATTTTATCTATTATTTTTGGTGACCCCTAAACCTATGATTCGCGATCCTCTTGGGGATGGTGACCCCTAGGTTGAAAACCACTGGTCTAAGTAATAATTAAATCTTGATACATTTTTGATGAACTGAATTTCGCTAAATACCATATTTTGTATGTAATTCTTATTTTGTAATGTTTAAGATTAATTATACAACATAATCCATTGCTAATATTAGTCAAGAAAGACGATTTTCAATTTATGAATCATTGTTCAAGTGTTCACTGTTATGAAAATAACTAGTCTTAAGTATTTTTATTTAAATGAGATTATTCAATGTGATATCAATCGTTAGAAATATTAAGATAATTTATTTTACATGTTGATCGTAGTTTATGATGCATCTAAAGTTTATTGTATTAGAAATATTAAGAATCTTAATTTTTTTTTCGTTTATCTAAAATATAAATACTATTTGATTAAATTTATCAAAAATAGATAATTTATTAAAATAATTACATGAAGTTTTTTTGAAAATGTATACAAAATTTATCTTTATCTAAATTCTAAATTTTACAATAAGTAATTAATTAATTATTTGTAACAAGTAAATTGGACTATCGAAAAAATTAAATTTAGGTAGATCGGGTTAAAGTGGTTTTTTATGTATTAATTATAGACTAATATAGTTATAAAATATGTTATAAAATAAATAAATATTTCAATATTACGAGTATATTATAATACTAATTGACATAAAGTTGTCGTTTATGTGGCTTTATACTATATTGTTTGTTTTTCATTAAGTAATTATTTTGTGAATGGTGTATTCGATTCTTATGAATATAGCACATATAGTAATGTTACTTTATTTAGTCCACTTAACCTAACCCATCTTAACCAATCTTTCATAGTGAAACTAGTTTTATATTACATTCTATTTACTATTTGCTGTTTGTTTTGATTCTTAGAGTTTATATACATTTTTGTTTTTCGTAAAATTGAAATGTCACCATAAGTGTGTTTTATATTTTATTTTTAAGTTATAGTATGCTAGACATATTAAATTATATTATTAGGTAATATACTAATATTATATTAAAGAAAAAAAACAACATGCAATGTAAATTACATATTAAACAATCTAAAAATGTAATTCCCACAAAACTATTTTACAATTTGTTTAAGTGAATATAAGTTTAATTAAAAAATTAACATTTTTTGGCTGAAGTAAAATATTTTATATTTGAATGATATAAACTCTCCTACAACATAGCCAAAATTCTACTGATCGACGAATTTATGCCAACATCATATATGCGTCATATAATCGTATCGTTCATATATGTCATGTATTGCCAAACAGCCTTTAATATTTCAATCCAAATTTATTAACGTTTTATCAATATTTTTCGAAGAGTGTCAAATATAATTTATATACATTTAAAAATACTATCGTTTATTTTAAGTAGATCTTAATTTTTATCATTAATGTTTAATTATTACTATTTATATTAATTATCTCTATAAAACAATAAATATTTTTTCTAAAATAATCTGTACCTAATTTAGATTCTATTATTTTCATAAAAAGCTGTTAGGATTAAAAAAATTAATTAAATGTTACATGCTATTAAATTAATTTTTGTAAATTTGCTATTATAGAAAATATTTTTATTTCAGGTTATGGAACGATTGAAATGTTGTATGGTGGGTGTGTGGTTTTGGTCCTGGGGGTTTTAATTATCGCTTGTTATATTTATTCTAAGAAAAAATGTTTATGGTTTAAAAGTAAAAGTAAACTTCCAACTGCTGCATCAGAACCACATTTGGCATTTTATCACCGAAAGCCAACCACAGCCGTAAAATCCGTAAAAAATCCAGCTGGATCACATTATTTGAAAAAAAGTCCTAGTCCAACAGGCAACAAAACACCTGTTGTAGGTCCTATTTAATATTTTTGAAAATGATGGTTTTAACATTTTTAATATAATTTTCAATTTTTAAGGGTGATGGAAGTATTAGTCCTACAGGATCAGAAAAAATGACAAAACATTCACCAACTATAAGTCCTACTTGTGAACAAAAAACCGTGCAACCGCCATCACATACGCTGTCGTAAGTCTAATTGTTCCTATTTAAATTTAAAAATTAGTTCTTTAAATTAAAATAAATTGTAATTTTATAATAAAATACATAGAAAAATGTTTGATACAATTATTTTGTGTGTGCTTTAATATTATTTTTCCCAAAAATAATACACTTACATACAATGGAAAAGAAGTAATGACTACAAGGAAAAGTATATTATTAGTTTACTCGTATAAATCATTATTTTTACGAAGAAAAATATGACGTTAGTATATTTTGTAAACGAATATCCAAGAAAAATTCAAGGACTTTCACGTGGGGAAAAATATAGTATTTTTATGACATATAGATAAATATTGTTGCGTCTAAGATTTGCTTACTTAAATCCAATATAACCTAATATAATGTTTATTATTAATTTTTATAGCGTTTACTCGATTATTCTTGAAGTATGATGTATTTTCTGAGTTATATGTAACATATGTTTCGTTAAAAACTCATGTTGCAGATATTGACATAGGACGATATCTATAATTATTAAATACATTTTTACACTTGTTTATAAATATTGTAGACTAGTTTTATAAAAGCGGTGAGAAATTTAAAAAAAATACTTATATAAGGTAAGGGAAGTCACATGGATTGTGCAGGGGGTAGGGGATGAAACCAAAAAGTTTCTTTTTCTTAAGAACAGCCTATACATACGTAGACCATTACGTGAGTATTAATATTTTATATAATAAATAAATTACAATATTATACGCTTCAATTGTTTTTATGCTAATATATTTCTTTTAATAGTAGTTTTCTATTAATGATTTTAGCGTTGTGCATGAGAATGAAACAGATAATAAGTTATCAACGAAAAATAATCAACCAACAACAGAAACTGGTCAAAATGATTCATCTGGTAAAATGGGCGTACTTTTTTTTAAACTTCGGTATGTGAATAATCAAGTTATATATATATATATATATATATATTATGCATTTTACCGTAAAATCCATCACGTGTAACCTATTTCACATCGATTATGTTAATTTTGTTATTAAATACAGTGTGTCAAAACTCCCATAATGAAGAGATTTAATTAAATTATTACTTGGTGAATTTCCGTTTTATATAAAGTTTGCTTATACAATATTGAAAATCTTGTAATTATGTGACTGATTTCTAATATTTTTAAATCAGCCTATTATTATCATAAATCATTCTATAACAATATAAATATTAGTGCGCCAAGTGTGAGCTAGGTTATATTAAGCATAATAATATGATCATTTTTAATCAGCAAAAAAATGTTTGATTATTATTGTTTAAAATTACAAAAGATTATTTTTGTTTAATTTTCTCATTGAAAATATATATTGTTTTTTTGTTTAAGTTACATCTATACGTCAAAAGAGAAAAATAACTTACTTCACATCAAATAATTTATGTATTTATTTTATTAAGTTTATTGTAATTTTAAAGAAAATAAATAACTCATAAAATATTTGATTTTGCTACCTAATAGACATAAAATAATTAATTTTTACAGTCATTATTACAGTCATAGGTTCTGAATGAATTAATAAACGAATTTCTTTAATGATGTTTCTTTCTTCCATAAATATTTTTTTTGAGTAGGTCCTCTGTAATATATGATTTATGAAATTAATATTTAATAGAGGATTGTGCATAAATAATATATTAAAAAGTCTGACTTTCAGAATAATTATCTTATGATCTTTTAAAGAAAGTTTAAAAAATATTTCAAGATTGATTTAATTCTTACTAGCAAGTGTTCACATGTATTTTAATAAAATAAATGATTTGGTGTTTCGTAGAAGAAAATTGCAAGCAACATTTTATTTTATTAAGTTTGTTTTTAAGTTATTTAAACAGATTTCAGCAAGCATTAACTTATTTGTTTCATTCATTTATTCACGAATATTGAGTTATTTAATATATATATATTTTACATGGATTTTCATTTAGAATCATTTTTCAGAATTCAACGATTTATTATAACCCTGTAATGTGTAAAAATTTATCCATTCAAATGTTCAAATAAAAAATACATTGGTTTAATGGAGTGTACAGTAATTTAGTTGTAGTTTGCTGCTAAAAATTAAAAGTTGAGAACACAATGCCGATTCAGATTTTAGATTTAATTACTGTTATAAAAACAATATTTTTTAAGACAATCAATCATTTTTAGGTACAAAAAAGACAAAAAAGTTCTTTTGGTTAATATAAATAAATGTATGGACTTGATGCCAAAGGATAAAAATTCTGGCACTAGTGATCCGTATGTTAAACTACAGTTATTACCAGATAAAGAACACAAAGTAAAAACTCGAGTTTTGAGAAAGACAAGAAACCCGGTGTACGACGAAGACTTTACATTTTTTGGAATACAATCTAATAAACTTCAAGTGATAAAATAATGATAATTATTTGATTTATTTCTGAATCAATGAATAGAAAATAATTTTTTTTTTTAGTCTATGACTTTACATTTTGCCATACTGAGTTTCGACCGTTACTCTAGAGATAGCTTAATCGGGGAAGTTTTCTTTACTTTGAACGAAAAGGAGATATTGGAATCTATTGAAAAAGAACAAATCTCCATTCAAAAGGACATCGTACTTCGAAGTATTAAAGTATGTGTAATATTTTTTAATGGTTATAGTTATTTTACAAATGTAATGATTATAAAATACTGATACATTAATAAAAAAAAATATTTAGTTACCTATTTATCAGTTAATTTACGAAGCTATATATTTTACTTTAGATTATCTTTAAGAAAGAAATGTATTACCACATAAATATATATAAGTAAATTAGTTCTTACGTCAAATGTCTTGATAATAGAAAATTCTAAGTCATTATGAATATTTAGTTAACAATTAATTTGTCTATCACCAACCAGAATACTGTTATTCATAAATAATAGATTTTTTTTTAATTGATTGTTGAACTTTGTTTACTTTTTTTAATATTTCACATCGTTAAATATATAACTCATTGATATAATCAAATGTTCATATGATTTACTGAACTTTGAAAATAGTTTTATAATTTTATTAGAAATTGTATTTAATTTTGTTTCATAAGTTTTATTGATTTTTTAGCAATCCCAAATTGCCAATCGCGGAGAATTATTGGTGTCTTTGTGTTGGCAACCAGCAACAAGACGGGTTACTGTAGTTGTGTTAAAAGCTAGAAACTTACCTAAAATGGACTTAACTGGATTGGCTGGTATATTTTTATAACTACAATAAATATTACTAATTTTTTTTCTTTTTTATTGCATATTAGTTGTGTCCTTAATATGTGTTCTGAGTTCAACATACAATTTAAATATGAAATTAAATTGTAATTATTCATTTCATATTAAAAATATCAATTATAGCTGCAGTCAAAGTAATACCTTGAAACATTATAATTATTTATTTGTTTTTTAACTCGATTTTTTTGTTATTAATTATTATTTTTGAAGTAATATTAAAGTGCTAATTTTTGTTTACTTGATAAACCTAATTTAACAATTATATATTTTAGATCCATTTGTGAAGATAAATTTCTTAGTGGATGGAACACGTATATCAAAAAAGAGGACACACATGAAGAAACGTACATTAAATCCTGTTTATAACGAGTCATTTGTGTTTGATTTGCCTGCGACAGTTGTTGATTTACATAATGTGTGCATTGAGTTTTGTGTTTTTGATCACGATAGAGTCACTAAAAATGAAGTAAGTGTGAAATAAGAGTTACGCCATAAAATAAATTAAATTAAATTAAATTTCCATTTAACCTATTCGGCTGTTATACATTTCATAAGTTTCATCAAAATGTCAACTGTCTTATTTTTTATTAATGATTTAGAACTTGAACGTAATAAGTTTCATACTATTTAAAAATCAGGCTAGTCGAATATTGACATAAAATATATATGCATATTTAATTGTTATAGTGAAATATTTATTTGTAATTAGATTATTGGAAGAGTTTTGATGGGACATCCAGACAACCCATCTATAACTGCCGAACGCCACTGGAAAGAAGTAATGAATGCACCACGAAGGCAAATAGCTGATTGGCACAAATTAGTTGTTTGAACTAACTAGGAACAACGATATGGCAACAAAAATAAATAATGCTATCTATACTCTTCCTATACTATTGGTTTTAATTTATATTTTGTACCAAAATTTACCTCTTAAATGGATACAATCTATCATAGTTATTTTTTAAACATACTATGTATACCATTAGGTGCATTGTCCTAAAGTATAATTGACATTATAAACCATCACATGTCCATTTTTTATATTTTATTGTATTATGCACCTGTACAACTTGTGAAATGACCCGACATGTGAAGTATATTATTTGATTAAACTTGCATTACTGACTCTCTGTATCAAAATTATTAAATTAATGACAAATTATAAACAGGGTGTGAAATGAAAATATGATAATATGAATAAAATATTAACGAAGTTGGCAAGGTAAATGTTGAGTTGACATTTGTCTAACCTATTATTATTTTTTTTATTTATTTTTTTATATATTGCCTTTATCCTGAAAACATTATAGCTAATATTTTTTCCTTTTTTCCTTCAATCAATTAAAAATTGCATGTTAGAAAATGCATGCTATTCAATTTGGAATCAATAGAAAATAGTCTGTGCATGAGTTGATAGCATTTAATGTTATTTTTAAGGATAGGTACTATATAGTAAAGTATAAGTCAAGTTATCAAGTAAACGAAACATTGACAATGTTTACTAACTACTAGACTTTGAAAAAAAAAACAATTTAATATGAATAATAATGCAGCTGTATAATATATTTATTTATCAACTAAAAATATTTTTAGGTAAATCACTACACATGCGCACACAATACGTTATATTATGTACATTTATATTATATTATATGTTCTACCATTATACATACAAATATGAACGTTTAATACCAAAAAATATGAAAGAATAAATTAATAATATAATACATATTATAAGCGGTTATTTGATAATATTAATAACTCTGAATTTTGTAGTTTAATTTAGTTCGATTTTTATTTATGTTTTTAGCTAATAGCAAACATTTTACAATTTATAGATGAGAATATTTAAAAATATTATATTTACGGAAATATTTGATAATCATATTTTATGTTTCATTAGTATTAGACATATAAACATGTTGATTACTGTTTAAAAATAGTTTATTAGATAATACTAGTATATATGATTTTATATTTATTCCTGTATAATTTTAAGATGTTTGGCATTGTATTTTAGTACTAAATAATTTCTATATAATGTATTAAAATACGGATAAAGAAATCATTATATTTTTACATACTGTACGTATCAAAATTCATTTGAAATATGAAATAGATATAATCAAATAGTGTGATTATGAATACAAAATATAATAATGTATATGATTATTTAAAATATATAGTAGTGATCTTAATTAAAATTAATTAAGCGTCCTAGCATTTTACGTACATTTTTAAAGGGCTAGGTATCAAAAATTGTTTGTTAAATCTTAGTATCAAAATGCATTAAATTATGAGAGGTAATTGATCATTTTAGAATTTTAGTAATATTGTATCTATATTGGTTTGTATAATACAATATACTTTGTTATATTTTAAAAACATTTATCTACACTTTATACTCAAATAGCTCATATCTACTAAAAAAACTTTGGTAGAAAATTAAAAAACCGATATAAACATTTTTTACAATAGACATACAACACGCAAGTCGTCTTGATAATAATCTATTATCTCATAGTTTATGTTTGAATACACGTATTTAAATGTTTCCATTTTCTACATATACAATTTGAATCTATTATTTACTATTTTGATAAAAATATGAAATTGAAAATTATTTAAACCATTAGATTACACAAATATATAATATTATATTACTTAGGTTCTATCTAGCTTTCTGATTTTCATTGTGATTATCCTTTTATTTTCATTTTTAATTACCGGACTCGGAAAAAGTCTCGAAATAAGATCTCGACATTATAAATATAAAGAAGTAAATTAAATATAGATAAATATTGAAAGAGTTGAATTTTAGTTTTATTTAAGAGTTTAAAGGTCTATAGGTGATATTTATATATCACTTCTTGTTTATAAAACAAATTGTATTTTAAATTCAAATTTATTCTATACTTAATAATATAAATGTAGTATTATACTTATTTTTATATACATATTTTTTCCATATCCTTATATATAAACTTTATTTTGTCTGAGATACACTCAAAAATTACTGGCTCGATTTACATGTTGTTTAAACCTAATTAAAAATGTAAATAAACTAGTTTTAAGGTCGAATTTTAGGTTGCATCTGAAAACCACACACTTTTGATTTTGACCTGAAAAAGTTCGATACATAAAAACTGCACACTAATAAAGTTTTATCACCAATAAGGTCATTTTATAACAAATATTCCAAACTTATATTGGTTAAAACCGTACACTATTTTTAGTATTAATTACCAGATAATATAAGATTATAAGATATACTGCAATAATCATGCTTACATATTTTAATACTTCGATTTTAATTAAATTATATTTATTTTAGGAGCACTTGGTTAAACTGTGGGAAGAATTTTTAATCGACGGATATCGTATGAAATTTTTAAAAAATGTCGGTTACAGATTTCAGCCAATCAAAATTTAAACATTTTACACAATTTTTCAAATTTTTTTACATTTTAGAATACTATAATATGCATTTCATTTGTTTGTATAAATTAAAAATTATAAAGTATACCTGACCTAGGTAAGTATAATCTTTTTGGAATCGAAATCAAACGTGTGTGGTTTTAACCTACTAAAAATGTGTGGTTTTATTCTGTATTTTATCAAAAGTGTGCGGTCTTAGGAGTCAACGGAATTTTACTATAAGGAAATTTGATAAATAATTATTGAATAGTTGATTCATATGTGTCATACACATCATTATTATATTTAAAAGTTTTCAAAAATTACATTATAATTTCAACAATCGTAATTAAAGAATATTATAGATATAAATTAACTTTTATATTATGTTGCAAACACATAGAGCGAAGCCGGAATATCTTACAGCTTGTAATGTATATTCATAAATAGAACGTTTTTTAAAATATGTCAGTAATTAAATAAAATATTTAAATCAGAAAATATTATTTATTCGACTTGATTTAATTCATTTTTACAGACTGTGGGTAATCAATATTTATAAAGATCGTGAAAAATATTACATAGCAGTTATAAATTTATTTATGAATTCATTAAATGTTGTTAGTTATCTAGATCGATGACCCTATGAGTATATTTTTAATATTTGTTTTTTTTTAGCGCATTTAGTGTAAGTTATGATTTTGAGATCAAGTAAATGTCATAAAAATAATAGGATTACAATAACTACACACACTACAAATAATACTACAATATATAACACTACGAATAAAATATTTGAAATGTGATGTAAGAAATATTTATGCAAATTATTTATGAATACATAATCGAATTAATTAGAGACTTGAGTGGAACGTGTAAAATAAATAACTTTAGGTGACTTACATACAAGTATTGATTAACAACATACAATATTGATTAAATAAATAATTCTCATATCATAATTTGAAATAACTGTACTATTCCATTCCTGAAAAAATTATTATTTATTAATTTTCATATTCAATCATACTTTTTAAAATAAATTTTGAAAATTATTAATGAAAATATTGGACGAGACAATAATATTCAATAAGATTTTTTCATTGTGGACTTAAAAATTATTAAAACTTACTTAATAATAAGAAAATCAAATGTTAAAATAGATATGTGAATAAAAACAATTTGAAAACTTTTTTTTTTGATGAAAAAGATCATGGACAATTATAGAGATAAGAATGAGTTAGATAATTTGTTACTACGAGCAAATCTTATTGATACATCATAATCGTTATCTCGAACTTTTAATGATCTGTATGGTAATTTTGATTAATATTACATTAAATCACATAAATTATTTTTTTAAATTATTTCATACAGGACTTCGATGAACATGGTAAATATGATTTTGTACTGTATGATCCAATTATTAATTTGTACATTAAAATATTACCTTATTTTTGTTTATTTCCTTTATAAACACTAATATGTTTAGCAAAAAAAATATTATAATTAAGATTTTATATTACAATTATTCATAATTCATTCTACTTTTAATTAAATAAATATTATGTAATGATAATTTCTATAGTTACATTATTTAATTATTAATGTAAATAAATATTTTTTTAATTAAAACTACCAATGTATATCTTGTTAGAAATATATTTTAAAGATACAGCAGATAACATGAAATTTTTCATATAATAGCTATATGATACTTTGTTTTGATTTTGATAATTTAACCCAAAAACATTATTATGATATACCAAATTATTTTTTTTTAAATTATTTTTAATTTTTCTTTAATATAAGTAATATATATATATATATATATAAATGTAACAATTATGGCTTATTTTTATTTATTTCAAATTACCATAAATTATTTGACAATCAATGTCGCCAAATCTGTAAATAGTCTGAAAATATCACTTCATATATTATTATAATTATATTATATTAATCCTTTGGAGGGGGGTTCCCAATATTGCTTCATAATATGTTTACGGTTTTGACTTTACTAAATATAGAGAAAACAATAATTATGATATAAAATAAAATATTACTAAACATACGAATATTTATTTTTTCACTGTTCTAAATAATAATAAAATATTTAAAATTAATAAAGGATGTTTGAATGACAAAGACTAAAAAATAAACCAATTAGTGAGGTGAAATTTATTGTTACCTAATAAATGTATGATACTACTAAACATAACAATAATTAACATAAATTAAGCAAGTGTGTTTCACATAACTTAATGTGCGTTAAGCACGAACTTTTAGACTCCTTGTAATAACAATAGGGAAAATTTAATAATAATAGAAAATACAAGTGTGTTAAAATTTAATGATGGTGAAAAAATTACTAATAAAATATGTTTATATAGGGCTATCAATAAATGTAAGCACAGTTGTGGTTGCTATTCGGCTTATTACTTCGATTATTCATTACATAAGTAGTTTATTAAATTTTTATATAAATATACACACTTCTAATACGTGAATTATAATATTCAAGAGGTTCGTTTTACAATATTATTTTGTATTTAACTATACATTTAAAATATGGTCAATTTAATTTTCTTGTATATTTAAAAATATTTAAAACTAATCACTTTATCAAACCTTCAAGTTTAGGAATTGTTAACAAAAATATCATAAAATTCAAATGTATACTAATAGCTTAATGTTGATAATATTTATATATTTTAAAATTTTTTTATTTGAAAAATGTTTTACAATTTGGTACCTAAAACAATAAATCTAAATGATTTGAACAGTAATATATAGTTTACATGAATATCTTGTGTAAGAAGCAGTTCATTAACGGCACATCAGAAATAAATTGTATTGTTTATATTACATTAGTTCTTTTTCAAATAAATATTATAAAAATTATTTTACAATTATTATAATCTGAATTAATATTAATAGGATAAAATATGCGCATGCATATTCACATGCAAATACTTAATTGACATACTTCAAAAATCAGATCATAATTTTGAACTGAAGAATAACTCTATTTATAATGGACACTGATTTTATAGAACTTTTCAAAATAGTATTATTGCTATTTTAGTCTTAGTATTTTTTTTTTTTTTTTTACAGTTTTTATAATCATGATGAAAGAAGGAACACAGATTATTTTGATCTTGAATATGTGTTTTTTATTTGTACGCACAAATGACACGGGTGTCCAATATTACACCAATAAATGGCTAGTGCATGTACCTCTGGGAGAAGAAGTAGCTAAAGAAGTAGCGCGAAATAATAATATGAAATACGATGGACCGGTAATCTAGATTTAAATAGTTTATAAATAAATTAGAATAATTGTTTATATTGAAAACTTAAATAAGTTCAACTAGTTTTTTTGAATGCACTTCATAGACTGCGATATCGAAATTTTATCATTATGTGCGAAAGGGATGAAAAATTAACAACTGTTAAAATACAATTTGTGTTTTTATAAAATATAATCTCGTCAACCCCAGAGTAACAATATTTTTATATCATATTTATTATAATTTGAATATATGAAATTTGAGATTGTTATTTATTGTGAATGAGATGACATAAACGCGTCCTAAAAAAAATATACACATGAATTTCGAAACAAAATATTAGTCACGTAGCCAATTTTTTTTCGTGTTCAAGGGCAAGTTTTAATTAAAGAATTAAGGCATTATCTCTCACGGAGTATGATATTTTCTAGACTCTTTTCGCCAATTCAGAAAGAATAAATGTAAATTGAAATAGAACAAATAAATATTTTTGTTATTGAATAAAAAACTAATAAATATTTTTTTTATCAGTTTCTATCCAAATATTTTTAAATTTTTAGATAATTTAAGAATAATTCAAATAAACATTTACAATACAAATATTAATCAGAAGCCTACTGATTTCTGGAATATAACGGAAATACTATTTTTTATAAAGAAACTAAAAAAAAAAAGTTATAATATTGTAGTATGTAAAAAATTAATCAAAAAAGTATAAAAATCAATTTTAACCTAATGTTATTGAGTATATATTTACAAGTTTAAATTATTATAATCATATATTTATCTTATATTATTATTATTATTATTTTTATTATTATTATATTATTATTATTATATAATATTAATTTGATATCTTTCATTTAAATATTTCTAATATACGAATTATTATTTATTATCAATGATATAATAATTATAGTTGAGTTGTCCCAGTTTGTAGAGATGTTACTCAATACACAATGTCGGAACTTTACTGAGGTGCTCCTATCCCAATTATATATATTGTATTTTATAGTTATAAATCATGAGTTTAGATATGCTTCATATATTTTAGGATATAATATAATAACACTTAAGTGAGCATAAATCTGTTTGAACTTATTATAAAAGTACTTAATGTTTGTGACACGGATACCACAAACACGATAAAGGCGTAATTTTTTGATGATATAAAGTTCCAAACCAAAGCCTAAATGAAAGATCTAAGTCCTAATGAAAATTTTCAATCTCGCTGCAAATTATATCATTTTTATCAGTTTGAAGTATTTCGTATAATTTTATTCAAGACAGTTAACAATTGTCTAATATTAAAACCTATTATTGAGGTTTCTTATATTTTGAATTTTGATTTTTTAAAATATTAATTATTGTTTCATTGAAATTGTCTCTATACTACTAAAAGGTAAAACGAATATAAATTTTGACATTATTGCATTTACATTAAATACATTAAATATTTCATAATACGAGTACTTAGTTTAGTAAACTGTGATAAAAAATAAATATTTTATTTTTTATGTAACATTTTTTGTATAAATTACCGTGAGAATAATCAATCTAAGAGTCATTAAAAATTAATAATTAAAATATGTTTGCGCAAATGAATAACTTTATAATTAATTATTTGCAAAGTTGAATTAAAGAAGTGTAATATATGTATTAATATAAGTAATATATAAGTTATAATCAGTAATCACATTTTTGGTACAAAAAAAAAAAAAAAAAAAAAAAAAAAAAAAAAAAAAAAAAAAAAAATAAAAAAAATAAAAAAATAAAAAAATAATAAAAAAAATACGAATTCAAAGTACATCATTTTAATTTTAAATTAAGACTCGAGTAAAATTATCAAAATTATGATAGTATTATTTAAAAATAGTAATAAAAATTTATAACTTTATAAAAAATATATATTATAAATAACGAATAAATATTTTATTATATAATTGAATACAATTTAAAAACTAAATTATTATTTGAAAATTCATGAATCATAATAATCAACATCATTGATAATATGTTAATTAATTTTAATATTGGTTATAAAATACAATTTATATTTAATATATTATTATAATGCACTACTTACTAAAATATGGCTCGAATATGTTTAAAAATTAAAATGCAAAAAGGAAATTTCGTGTCCTGGATTTAATTTTGTTTCTAACTATCTGTTTTTACTTTTACAGAAATCGAATATTAATAGAAAATAACTTTTTTTTATCCCTTGAATTTATGAAACTGAGTATAGATAATTCATTATAAAGAACGAAAGATCAAATATTGTGTATTTTAATAGATACCTAACAGCACTTGTTCGAAAACCAAGAATAAATAGTCAGTCGGTTTTTAATTATCACGTGAATATTATTCCGAAGTGAAAAAAATATTAAATTAGCATATATTTAACGCTTCTATATAGCTACTTTGTCAGTAATATATACTAAATATATTATACAAAAAAAAAAAATATTAAAAGTATAAATAATACAACTATTTTATGTTGAAAACCCATACTTCGAAAAAATGTATTATGTTATAAAAATCCATTTTATATGACAGTTTTATTAAACATTATCCATAGCATAAATAATATAGTAAATATAATTACAAATTAGGTACAAGTATAATAGTAACAAAAACACATAAATTTAATTTAAACAATAATTTTAAATTAAGATTTTATCAAAAAAAGATGTTTTAATAAATAAAAAATATGATCAAATAGAAACGTATACATTTTAAAAAGAAAATTCGTGGTGGTAAAGAATTTTACAGACACTTTGATAGTTGTTAATTTTTTTTTCATGAGTTTTTTTATATTTTTTGTAGAAAAAAGTAGTTATGTTACTATCTTACTGAAATAGTATAAGAAAAGTTAAATAATTAACTGTCAGAACATAACTAATTAAATTTGATCTTCTAATAAATTTGTTTTTTAATAGAATACTCAGTTTTAAATATTAGTTGAAATAGAAGTTTTCAGTTTTACAAAATTATATGTTTTTATTTATTGAATTGCAAAAACTATCTGAAACTAATAATTTTTTATAGTTTTTTGATTAAATTCTGGAAGATGTTTGATTATTAAATGACGGTATACAATTTAATAACATTGAATCATAAAAATTGTAAAACGATAAAAAATCCAGTGGATTACTACTATATTATTAGCATAGTTTATAATTATAAGTATTATAAATTATATTCAGTCTAGGTCAAATGATATCTTAAGAATAATAATTACAGATTAACATGAAATGAATTCCTTAAACTGTACCTATTTCTTCAAGTATAATATTTATATCGATGATATATATTCGAACTTGAAATTTATTTAAACTAAGTAACTTTAATCATTAAAACACATTTTGAATCTTTAAAAATAATTTAAATTAAATTTTATATCCATAAACACTTCAATCAAGAATGTATTTTTTGATAATGATTTAACAATATATTGTTTAAACCAATCACATTATACTAAAATCTATACTCACTTTCTCAAAATAATTTTATAAAATATAATATTTAGACACTTATTAACAGTAAAATTATTATTGTTTAATATGCCACATGCAAAAAGTAGTATGTTTCGTTTTGTTATTTTTATGAACAATTCAATTGTTTTTATAAACATAATTTCATTAGGAATTACACTTATTTATTTAAGTGTCCATTATCCATATGTATCTCTTGAAATGTACATTCTTAGGTTGATGGAACATAGAACGTGCAAATAAATTATTTATCGGTGATGACATTTTCAAAACTAAAATGGTAACCATTTTTATCTGTTTGTCATAAATAATTCCATTTATATTTTAAACGATTTTCTTTTGATCTTGATTGTTATATATTCAATTTCGTTAAGGTAGTTCGTAATAGTTGGTATCCAGGCTAATTTGAATGTTTAAATGAATTATTACTACCGCAGTGATTCTATAGAATTAGCTGTCGCATGAGCGAGTGCAATAATGTGCATCGAAGGTAAAAAATAATCCACACCGATGTATAATAATCCACCTGAATTGAAAATCATTCGTCGTTTTTCTCATCGAGATCTCTAACGAATAAATGTTGTTCGGGTAGAGTAGAAAAAAAAAAACGAATATTTTGACGTACAATATAATGACGAGAAGAAAAAGATAAACGATTAATGGAATGAGATGAGAAAGGGAGATTCTGTGAGTATAAAAAGAAGTAAAAAAAAAAAAAAACAATGTGTCTACGTGAAAAATAGTATGGGGATGATAATGTTGGTGGGCGAAACGATAAAACAGGGAAAGAAATTGAAAAAAAAAAGAGACCCGTCGCATTATGCGCGAGCGATTCGCCACATCAGTTTCTCGACGTACGGTATAAATGCAAAAGTTAGCGCGCGAATAACCGTTCTTCTTCGAACGTGGAACACGTCGTATATCAATACGTGCGCACTGTCGAGTTACATACGTGTTGAAAAAGGGGTGTAGGCCCGTGCGTGACGGTCGATGAGCTACGCGGCAGCGGCGCAAGCGTTGGCCAGGTGGCTGGGTGGCCTTGTGACCTCGACCCCGGCTAAGGACGTGTGTACCAGGGTCCCATGCTACGGCGTTCCAACGGGATCGGGGTCAACGTTCGGGGGTGGTGGTAACTGTGGCGTACGACGACGGTGACTACTACCCTTTAACCAGAGTCCCGACGCCGATTCCGTTATACTGGCGCAGCTTTTAGCACTGGGAGCACATGCAACGACCGTGCGCGTTCACCGAGTCCGCCGCGATTTTCCTGAACGACAATTTTCCTTCACCAAGCTTTTTCCATCCCTTCAGATTCGGCCCTGGTGTCGGGATTCCAAAAGAAAGCCCTGAGAGCCCCAAATTTGGCTTCGCGCCAAGCGGATTTTCCGACGCATTCTCTGGCCCGCCCCGTCCCTCAGCGAGTATCCCGCATGGGGTAACTTACCGATAGGGGAGTCATATAAGCATTAGGGAAGAGGTAGGGCGAAGTTGCGTGGCACTCACGATCAACAAGTTTCCCTATCCTCCGCTCATCTTACTCTTGGCAAGACTTCGCGATGTATCCGATACCTATTTGTTATTGTTGTTACGTCGCCGGCTGCGCGCGGTCGGTATAAGACGGTATAAGACATTATGTAATAATGGTTCGTGGGAAAAATTCGATACACTACACCGAAACGCACGTGGGGGTTCGTGAACAGAGAGGATGGAAACCTTGGACTTGCAACTACTGTGACCACGCGATGGCCTCTTTCTAACCTAGTCTATAAGGTGATACGGTTTTTCGGTACTGCTACTACAACGGATAAACACGAACGTCCGGGTTCTGTCGTTTTCGTTCGAATAGGTTGCCGCGAAATGGAATATTTAAACATACGTGTACATTCTCTTTGGAAATTAAATGATAAATATATAAATTTTGGCTTTAAATAATAAAATAAAGGGATAGTAGATAAATTATATGTAAAAAAAAAAAAATGATATATATGATTAATTTGTTTTCTTGGTATCTAATAGGATTTTTTTTTTCCCAATAAAAATAAAAGTTTTAATAGCGTGGAAGTATTTATGTCGAATTTAGATGGTGAAATAATAATTTTCACAATAATAGATTAATTTTTTTTTTAATGTAATTTAACCATCGTTTTTAATATATATTATCACATGGTACGTATAAGGGTATCTTACTCGTAGTATTTGATAATATCTAAAAATGGCATGTCTGTACATTTATTCTATTCTATTTTTGGTATTTTTGTCGCTTGGTATTTTGCTGTGGCTCGATATTAAAATTGTAGTGAAAATTTTTCCATAATAATTGTTTATAATTTTTTTCTTGCATGAATTCTTACAATATTCATTGCATTTTTTATGTTTTCTAAAGTTTGAAGTGTGCTCAGAAAGTTGATGAGTATTATATAATTTAGATAGCTTTAAACTTGTTTGAATATTAGTTCTATATTTGTTTCATAGGCGTATCTATAGGGTGTGCCAGGACACACCCTGCGACTCATGTAAACCTATGTAGGGCCCATAATACTCGTTTCAGTTACAACTGTATTGAGACCAAATATTAAACAATTTATACATTTTAATACATTTTTATGGGTACAAATATTGTCAATAAATATTATATTATTACTATTTAATATTATTATTTCAAATGGGAAACATCTTTTAAACGAATGTTTAACGTTTTGTTTTCTTTTACAATCTACTACAATCTACTATCTATAATATTGAACTTAAGGAAATTGTGTTTTATTTTTTTATTTAAAAAAGACAAACTTACCATTTCGGTTTCGAAATAATTGAATACTCTTACAATAGTATTTTTAACTGTACCCTTATTTATATCAGTTCAAGTTAAATTACTAAAATTCAACTATTCAACTAATTATTTTCACATACTTAGTGATAAAAGTCTTAAGGTTACAGCAAAAGTTGTGTGCAACTTTAAATACATGAAATTACAATCATTTCAAACATAGTTGGGTGGAGTTTTTAAACAAAAATGTATATATATATATATATATATATGACTAAATTAAACTATTACGTCGTCAATAAACGTCATTATCAATTCATTTGACTTGAACCACTGACGATGAAATTTACTTAGCCATGCTTTGACATATATTGATATTTTATACTTGAAAAAACTGTATAGATATTATTATTTAATATTTACTAATTAATTTTGGCATAGGATTTAAGCATTAATAACAAGTCTGTCCAAACTAATAATACCGTTGTGGATTTTTATTTTCATGTAGATCTACTGTTAAAAAAAGTATTGGAAGTAAAAATAAAAACGTATTAAGTATCTAAGACTTTGACTTTAATTTTATTACAGGATTTCCATAATGATGGTTTTCATTATATGGTCAAAACCGATTTTCCTGACAAAATATTCAATCACAATGAACACATTACGAACCAATTAAATAACCACGACTTTGTAAGAATTATTTAATTAGTAATTTAATTTTTATTTATTTAACTCCTGTAAAATATTGCAATCAAATAATGTAATATTAACAGAAATAAATAAGTACACTCATTATAATTAACCTTAAGTATGCATTTGATTGCGACCTTCTAAATTTTTTTATTCTAACCTAACCATATTAAACTGGAGTTTCAAGAAATATTGTAAGTGCAGTACTAGAAATCTTTATCACGTCATGGTTTTTATAGCTTAATAATTTATATTGATAATACTCAATTAACATCTTATGATCTTGGTAGTATAAGTAAATACATTAGTTCCGTTGTTAACATAGGTGAACTTGAAAAATCAGAAATAAGATGCTCATTTATATCAGACCTTTCAATTTCATTATAACTGCATTGCATTAGAATTGTTTTAATCAAGAAGAATTTAACATATTCATTTATATTTATTGCATACATAAAAGCTTGAAATGCATTTCCTTATTCTATGAAAACTGAGAGAATAATATTTATCTATGTGCAGCGAAACGTTCTTTTAGACGATGAGGGTAATCATCCATCACCCCTCGAAATACCTATAGTTTATTGTTATAAAAATATAGATTTCTAAAACTTCTAAGAAAATAGTGATGTAGAATGAAAAGAAATTTGAAAAATTTTTGACGGATCATACTAAATATTATGGATGATTTTACATAACAAACCGAAAAACGTTACATACGTAGAATCCAGCAAAATACTGTCCCATTAATAAAAAAAAAAAAAATCGTCAATAAATCTCCGTATGGTAAATTTGTTCAAACATATATTAGTTACCAAGATTATGTAAAACAGTTAAACGCATATCGTGAATATATCGTAAAAATTATATTGTTAGTTGTCTCTTTTATTTGTTACAATTAAGAGTCATAATTCGTTTTATTGAATACTTTTTAGATAACTATTGCAACTCAAGAAGCTGTGAAAGCAAGATCTTATAGAAGTGTTGTTCAACCTAGACATGTAGTTCCACGAAGAAAAAATAACGCTGAAAAGGAAATTCCTATCGTAGAAGATATTCCGATAGAAGGAGAAAGTAACTATAAATATGCGTTTAATGATGAAAAATGGCCAGAGATGTGGTACTTGGTAAGTACAAATATTAAAAAATTCTCTTAAAATAATGAGTACATGTTACGAATATCATTATCTTAATTATATTTTTTATTTCTTACCACAATAGACTTATGTTAGCAAAAAATAATGAAATATTTTATTTAAGTTTTAATATGTTTAATGAAGTTACTTAATTGTTGTTACGCGTAACTGTGTTAAAATATGTTTTGAATGGTGTCTACGAATATAAGGATTAATATTCCAATGAAATGTCATATTAAATATTATATTAAAAATATTTTATCGGATAATTTTGAATTTCTAATTTTTATTATGTTCAGTGAACGCAGTCAGTTAAAAATGCAATAAAGTGACGGACTACTAAGGCAATAGATAATATCTTAATAGATAATATCTCATATATTATATGAATAACATACACATTGATTCAGTAGATGAATTTAGCGTCAGGAAAGTAGGCAATATGTAGTACATTATTATGAGAATCGAACTTTATAAAAATTCGAAATTTATACCAAAAATATAATTATAGTGTTATATTTAGTGCTGAATTGTATTTATTATATTTTCAGCATTACTTAAACCATGTTGATAATGCGCCGTTGTGGTATCTTTTGAGATTTACAAAATATAAAACATATGTCCTATCAAACACGGGTAATCAAATATTCTGACAAGAGGCTATAAAAAACAATGTACTCCTAGTGGTGATTGTCCTAGTCCTGTATAGCAATATATCATATTGCAGGTTCTGTTATTCTAATTGTATTGTTTATTGTTTGAGAACTTAAAATATTTTAATTATTTTAATTAATTAAATTATTAAAATTTAAATTTAAAATTAAAATTAAAATTAAATTAGTAAAATTATTTTTTTGTATTTTGGTGTTTAATAATATTTATAAAATGTTTGTTAGAACAAATAAAATTATACGATACGAATACTTAAACTGAATGGCCCGAAATGTTGTTCAATATAACATATGTTCAGATTAGTATATATAAATTTAAATTACAAACGATACGTGTGCAACCAAAGCGAAAATAAAAATATTGAAGAGTATTCTAGCAAAATACGTATTTATTTTTGGCTCATTATAAATACATAATAATGCTGTTTGTTGCTTCTTTATTTAGGTTAACAATCATTGGCATATATTTAAATAATATATTTAATCTATGTGTGTTGCTATTTGATATTTTATTTTGTTTTTGTAGCCAATTTGCTAAAGTGGACTGTTTAGTAAAATATTTACAATCAATTGGTATAATAATCGTTACTTAAATTTTTACAAGAAAATCGGTATACCGCCGAAAATGAAGATAACGGACATTTTACGGTCTTTTAAATGTAACGATTAAAAATTTAAAATCAAATAATATTTTACGAATATGTCATATTAAAATATTAAATATTAAGTAAATTAGATGAGTTTTTGAATTAATAATAACAATGATAAGTGACAAACATAGCAAATGCATTCTGAACAAAAACAATTTATACCTATTGCTCGGGTAAAATGATCCCTCCAACCGGCATGTGTAAATTATTATAACTGAATCCAAATTTATGTATAATACAATGTTCTCTTGCAAGTTAATTTAATTTATTATATATTTTTATATGAATCATGTTTATGGCAAAAATTAAAATTATTTCTTTTTTTCCTTCTAATTATGGAATAGAATTATTAATTTAATAAATCAGCAAACTATTAAATAGTGCGAAACATAAATATGACAGTAAATTACAAATCCCCAAAAAACTAAATTAAAGCTAAATTTGTAACACTTAAAATTTGATTTAATTTATGATTAAATAACAATAAATATGAGTCAAGTATAATAATTTTAAGAATCTTCATTAAAATAAATTAACATTAGATTTATAACTATGTTGTTTTCGTATTAATCTAATAATTAAATAATTGTTGGTTTTCCAGGGTTATGAAATAAGTTGTCTTTGTAATCTTATATTTTTAATTAATACAATATTTTAAATAAAGCATAATAATAAGTAAAATTATTAAATTTTGAATAATATATAATTATTTATATCATATATTTTAATAAGTCATAATGAATGTAGCCTATGATTGAAAAAGCTATATAATAATATTAAGACTGTTCATTAGATATGACTATTTATAAATTAGCTATCGTGTGGCATGGAAAATATTTAAGTAAACTAAGAGCGTATTTGAGTTGAGGCCATTGAGGAGAGGTGGCGGGGGGGGGGCGAGACTAATTTTTTCTTCAATACAAACTTAAAATTAATTTACAGTTCATGTTCCTGTTAAAATGATAACATATTATAATGATAGACTAGTAATTTATATTCTTAATTACTTATACATTACATTTTTTAAATAAATCAATGTATTATATTTAAAAAAATACGAGCAAAGGGGAGGGCAAATTCCCCCTTCGCCACCCCTCAAATACGTCCTTGGACTAAATACAAATTTACCTTAGTATGATAGATGAAAAATTCAGTGAATTCGAATGAAAGAAGTTCTTGATTATTTTAATTTTAAAAGGGAAGTAATTGGACCTCAAAGTTTTTCATCTAAAAGAATAGGTCTTTCATACGTCATTTGCATAATAATCAGCTGTGTTACTTAATATATTATTCCATTATATTACCACTCGTCACAGTATAGTGGTATAATTAGTTGTTTGAGATGTATGAGATAGAAAATAACTTGAATATTTATAAATAGAATGTAGGATATCTGTATATAAAAATCCTAGTAATTTTTTCTCTACCACATTCACGATATTAGTTTAAAATCCAAGATTTAACTTATTTTGTATTTAGTTGGAAGATATGAATAAACATATTCATCAATATACTTGGAGTGTTTAAATACGTTTTCTAAAATATAACTCGAAGTTTAATTTAGCATAATCGTAGACTTTATCTAATGATTTACTCATAGTCATGTGTAATATAACAATAAATGCAGATCACTGGAAAAAGATGATGTAATTATGTAAACAGCCCAATTCTAGTTGAAGCTTTTTCTTAACATTTAAACAAATTTAATTGAACCGTATAATAGTGAGTAAATCTGTTTAGATTTTATAAGCAAATAACTTTACCCAGATTTGTATATATTACAACTGATAGATTTATGTAAATTTCCACATTAAGTATATTGGGTAAATTAATTTTAACTGAAAATATGTGTACACATTATTTAACTAATTCCAAGTATGTGTACATTAATTTAAAAAAAAAAGTCAAACTCAATTTGTCATATAAAATATAAGCAAATTTTAACTTTTAGGCTTGTGTATATTTCTATTCATAAACTTGTTACAACTGATTTATGTATGATCTGTAACTAAACTATCTTAAATTGGAATGTTATGAGACGTTTGTTATATTAAAATGAGAATATACATAAAAATATAAACCCTAAGTTTTATATGTTCAATCTACGGTATAATTTTTGCTTTTAAAATAAGCATACAATTAAGTCGACCATATATATATACAGGCCTGGCTCAAGGGGGTTTTATGTATAAAAAAAAATATTTAATAAAATATTTACACGTAAGGGGTGGCAAAAACTAAATTTCGCCTATGTTTGTTTAAACACTTGAGCCGGGCCTGTATATAATATATATATATTACATATACGAATAGCTAATTTTCTTTATTAGTATTATTCTATATACTTATTCTAATATTATTCTAGATAATTGTATTAGTTTCATTGTTTAATAAAACTGATATCATAGAAATATGGTAAATTATTATTTTTAATATTTATTGAATTAATAAACTGTATTTATATGTATAATTTTAAATATATTGGGCATAGTTTAGTGCACTAACAGGCTCAATATTTCGTCGTAGTTAGTTTCCGGTTGTGTCCAATATTTCTATTTTCTGGTTAGGTGACCTCCCGTAAATATAGCTATGAAGGCTATAAAGGTATGCTCTTAATTTATATATTTCAATCCATCCACCGATCAAGAAAAAAAAAAATTACAGTATATCCAATGTACATGATGGATCCGAGCTGTTGTAGGTTAAAATAAATTTAAATTAAAAATTTATATGGTACAATTCATTTTCAGCAAGATTTCCGAACTAACTCCACTCAGATCGTGCTTGATATGAATACTGTACCGATCTATTTTGAATTTAATATCACTGGGACAGGAGTGAATGTTACTGTGCCGGACGATGGATTAGAATATACACACCCAGAAATAAAAGAAAATTTTGTAAGTCTTAACTGATTTTTTTTGTGAAGTATATACAATACTAACCTATATTATTAACTAATTAATATTGATTATTAGGCAAGTTTAATGTCACTTATCAATTATTTTGTTAAAATATAAGTACTTTAATCACTTGTTGATATAGTTTTTTGAACATCTATGGTAGATACGTCGTTGATATATTTAATTGATTTTGTTTATGTACTATTGTTTTAAAAAATAGTAATTATTCATTTTTATTCTGTGCTTACTATTCATTTTAGAGAAATTCATTGATTAATTAAAGTAAAATATAATTGTCGATTAATGTACAAAACAGCTATTTCTGAGTATGGTAGTTAATTATTTTGAATTAATAAGCTGTTGTAATGTCTATCTTTATTTTTTTTTTAAGAAAAAAGAAAACTTTTTAATGTTTTAATATTTATGTTGTCTTCTGTAGTATATAATTTTTTTAATAATGAAGTTTCTCTAAATTAATTAAGTTAAATGTCCTAAATGTTAGCCATTAAAAAATGACTGAATAAATATGATTTGTACAATTTATTATAATTTATTCATTTCAGAATCCTGACTTAAGTTGGAATTATATTAATAATGACGCTAATATTATGCCATCTAGAGATGGTAGTGGAGGTTTTAGATCTCATGGAACTAGATGTGCTGGAGAAATTGTCATGAAACCAAATAATAGATTATGTGGAGTAGGAATAGCCTATGGAGTTAGCATCGGAGGTAAATATTTATTCGCTTACGAGTTCTCAAATAAATTTTATTGTGATTTTGTTATTGGACCGTATAGAATTAATTTATTCAACCTCTTCCTCACCACTATATAGTGTACAGTAATTAACAAAGTTTTTTTTTTCAAACTAAGGTATAAAGTTTTTAGATGATGCATCAACAGATGCTAGAGAAGCTAAAGTATTGAAACATGCTCTTGAATATACATGTATTTATAGTAATTCGTGGGGTCCCGCGGATACCGGAATGGTGATGGAACACTTGTCCCCTATAGTTCAAAAATCGCTTTCAAGAGGCATACATGAAGTAAAGATTAATTTCAATAATAATTATAATAATAATAACTATAATACTATTAATAACTTAATTAAGAATTATACATGGACACATACGTTACAATATATTTTTATCAAGTTAAAATAGATAAAACTTGACAAAAAAATAATTATTTTTATATACTTAGATTAGACATAATTAGATATAGTAAATTAAACCTATATTACTTAAGAACAACTTATCGTATAGAAATTATATATATATATATTTGTTAAGTATACATAATAAAAATTCGAACCATATATGTTTTACTCAAAATGCCCCCCACTCGTTTTCAATACAACGACGTAATCTTTCTGGTCACTGCTCAATATATGAACGAATAGTTTCCAGGAGGATTTCTGCAGCTGCCTTCACAATGCTTCGTTTTAGTGATTCCAAATTTGCATGTCGTTTTTTACAAGCTCTCTCCTCTAAAGTGTTCCATAATCCATAATCAAGTGGGTTCAAATCTGGGCTTGCAGAGGGCCAGTTAGATGCCTTTATAAAATTCGGAACATTGTTTTTAAGCCACTCTTGTATTATTTTTGCTTTGTGGCCTGGCGTGGAATCTTGTTGGAAAACCCAATCAATTCCTTCAAACAAAGAATCACTTAGAGGTTTCACTAAAGGGTTTAAGATATTATTCTGATAAACACGTGCACCAGTTATAACTCCTTTCTCACAGAAATGAATCTGTGTAACACCATGCCATCATGGCCGGCGAGAGGGTGGGGCAGGGAGGGCTAGAGCCCCGGGGCCCGTACGTTCTAGAGGGACTGTCGTTTCGGCCTTGTATACAATGTTTTTGTCGTGCCAAAGCATGTGCAAGTGGTCTTGGTGCGTCTCGGTGAAATAACTGCAAAGGAAAGGCGGCCCGGAATCCCCGCAGCCCCGGGGCCCTCAGAAGTTCTCGCCGGCCCTGCATGCCATGACATATCCCAACAAACCATAACTTGAGCAGGATGCTGGTCTCGTTGAACGCGTGAAACTTTTTCTGTGGCCTCTAATGATGACCTTGTATATACCCTACCATTCTGCTTGTTGTATTTTTTTTCAACGGTAAATATTCTTTTATTTGTGAATAAAATTTATTTACATTTTTTTTCGATCGTACGAACTAGGACCTTTTTTGATCTTTCGAGTCTTATTCTCTTTATTCGATCCGTTAACAAGTGGCTTATACTTCGCTTATAAGCATGTATACTTAATTTATTTCGAATTATGCGAGAAACCGATAGCGCGTTGATTTTCATCTCTCGAGTGACGATGTTTTGTTTCCCTAAAGGATTTCGATTGATTCTTGAACGAACGAGTTCAATAGCCTTTTTTTGTCCGAATAGTACAAGGATGACTACTTCTAATACGATCAACAACATCACTAGTATTAGAGTAACGTTTTTTGGTACGATATACAAATCGTTCACTCATTTTAAGCGGATCCAAGAGCGCAAAAATTTGTGACGCAGATTTGCCCGATTTAAACAAACCAACTATGGCAATACGCGTGTGATACTCTTCCCGCTGCATTGTTATTACAGTTAACGCGACAATTGCTGTGGTCAGGCCATGATCTTGACACTAATTATCGTGTACTTACAGTGTTGCCATTTTTGGAAATTGAAATGTCTCTTAAATAAATAGTACTGACAGTATTTATATATAGACTAAGTATACTTTTAAATTAAATTCATCAAAAAACATTTGTTCTTGTTCTAAAACCAAAATAATTTCTGTGATCATAGGGTCGAAATGGTAAAGGAGTAATTTATGTGTTCGCTGCTGGAAATGGAAAAGCAGATGGTGATAACTGTGCTTGTGACGGCTACGTAAACTCCATTTATACTATAGTTATAACTAGTTGTGATGATAGTGGTCATGTAACTTATTATTCTGAAAGATGTAATGCCATCTTGGGAACAGCATATAGCGGTTCTGGACTTCAGAAGAATGTGGTATGTACTTATGTACATATATTTGAACAACGGTTAATATAATATATTCATATTAACCGTTGTTTAAATATTTTATCAATTTACTGTACATATTATGTACAGTAAATTGATAAAATATGAAACTAAATTGCTATGAAATTAAGTTCGAGTGCAGAATAAGATTATTAATATTGTACTTCTTTAAAAAAAATCAAATTTGTTCGTAATTGTAACACATGTTAAAATATTGAGGTTTACTGATTATCTAAATAATTTAAAAATATTTAATAAAATAATATAATAAATTGAATAAAACATATCGCACTGTTACATAAGCTGGCCGAGTGGTTATCATATCTTGAAAATATTTGTATACAGTGGTATATTAAAAATTATTCAAATTATTTAATTGTTTTATCTTTGAATTTTTTTATCGGTTTTATAATTAATATATATATATATATATATATATATATATGTTTCTTCTATAAATACTTTTGCTTAAATACCAAAATAGCTTTTGGTTTTAGAATTTGAAGATAATTGAGCCTATATTAATATTATAAAATTGTAATTGCTAAGATTACTTTTTAATTATTAGTTTTTTTACAAAACATTTATAAAAGATAATAATGAAACAAATATTTTTTTATAAAAATTAGTAAATACCTCAAATTTATTTTTATAAATATTTTTTCAATTGATTTTGTTTTTAAATCTATTTTTTTTTTTTTTTTTTTTTAATGAGATTTTAACATTACATTATGATATCTCGACAATTATGTACATGAGTTCGAAATAAATTAAGGTTGGTAAAGCTCACACTCTTAAATTCGGAGACCTGATTGCAGGATAAAATTTAGCGTATGTTTAATTATATTGATATTGTTGGTTGAAAGAGCATCAATAAGGGAAAAATTAATACCAGAGATGAAAAAGAGAATCTTTAGTTGAGATCTTTGGATAGATAGAGATGGACAATTAATGAGTAGGTGATGGAAATCACAGTATTCTCCACCACAGTTGGGTAGAGGATAACACGCACTACTGTTGAGTCCCAATTTAAATGAGTGGTGTGGTAATAGGCTATGGCCCGTGCGTAATCTAGTGAATTTAGCTATGGCTGTACGGCTCATCTTTAGGGAATGAAACCATGGTCGATTAGGGATGTTTTTAAATAATGACCTATAACTAAAAGCATAGGATTCTGGTAAGGAATCCCATTCCAGCTTCCATTGTTCATTTATAACTTTGCGATGTAAAGAGACTAAATCTGTATAAGGACACCACAGTGAACCCGAGTAAGAGTGGTTGGCGGTTGAGCCAGCTAACGAATCAACGTATTCGTTACCATTTATGCCTATATGCTCTGGAGCCCATAGGAAGGAGATGGAGAATGACCTGATTTTGAGGGATAGTAGTAATGCGCGGATTTTTAGAATTATGGGGGAGCACTTCGAAAGGAAGGGGTTACTAACGATTGCTAAAATACTAGCTTGAGAATCAGAGACAATAAGAAAATCTCCGCAGGGGAGAGAACTTATGCATGTGAGAGCTTCTAGGATAGCCCAGCATTCAGCCGTGAATGAAGAGACGAAAGCAGAAAGGTTGGAGGAAGACTGTATATGTAATTCTGGGAAAAAGTAAGCAAACGCCGCACTTGATTGTGTGACTGACCCATCTGTGAATACCAAGGTAAACGAATTAAAGTTATCGTCAATAAACTGTCTAAATAGGTTATTAATTATGCATGGAGGCATAAGTCGTAAATCATTAGGGGTGTGGCCCAGAAAGTTGGATGACACCATCACGTCTGAGGTGAGAGTTAATGCATTAAAGTTTATGTCATATAAAGGTTGTTTGTGAACTTTGTAAACATGGGGAAAAACCGTTGAGAACGCTTGAATCATGGATAAAAGTAACGGTAAGAACCTTCAAACGAATCTCCATTTAATATTAATCGAGTTAAATATATCGATTATTGGAGATTTTGATAAAGATGAGCATTTTAATATAAATTTACCAGTAAGCCCACGATATCTGATTGGCAGTGGAGGGCAGGTAGACTCAACATTCAGTACAGATATAGGGGTTGACTTTAGCAACCCGAGCGCCGTGCGTAGACAACTAGTCTGAATTGAATTTAATTTCTTGTGGTGTGACAAGGCAGCGGAGCCAAAAAAAACAACAACCATATTCAATCTTTGCTCTAATGATAGACTTATAAACTTTCAATAAAGAAGAAGGGTGAGAACCCCATCAACTACCAGCTAAAGACCTTAACAGATTAGCCCATTTGTAGGCAAAAGAAGTTACCTGGAATAAATGAGCCTTCCATCGGAGATTGCTGTCCAATATAAGACCCAAGTATTTAATTTCAGAAACTACAGGTAGTAAGTCGCCATCTAAGAGAAATTGAGGGGAAACAAATCGACGTTTTCTTGTGAAAATAACTACCTTACATTTTTGAGTCGCTACGGAGAAGTGAAGCTTGTTCAAATTATTAGCCAGAATAGACAAAGCGTGATTGAGGAGAAATGAAGCTTGATTTAAATCTTTATGGGATTGGAAGATAACTAAGTCATCAGCGTACATGAGGTATGGGATGTTGACTTCTTCCAGGGCAAGCGCAATAACAGACATGTATATGTTAAATAATAGAGAACTGAGACAACTGCCTTGAGGTAACCCTGTGTGAGTGGTTCGACATGACTGAGACCCCGAAGGGGAAATAAAAATTAGTTCTCGAGTAAATAGCAGAAGACCTATGAAATGAACCAGAGAGGCAGGTACGCTATATGAGTGTAGGATAGCAAGCAATGTAGGGATGTGGACGGAATCATATGCGCTTCGGATATCAATAAAAGCAGCGGTTAGGAAACCATGGCTATTGAAAACTTCGTAGATGGGATTTTAAATCTATAAATAAGTTTAAAGTAAATATTGACTTATATTTATAGTTGACTTCTGACGTGGGATGGAAATGTACTGACAGTCATACAGGGACGTCTGCAGCGGCACCATTGGTGTCAGGTGTTATAGCTTTGGCTTTATCAGCTAAGTAATATAAAAGTTCAATAATATGTTTTATTTGATTATTTATGAATTATTATTTCAAGTCCGGAATTGACATGGAGAGATATTGTCCATTTAATAGCGTGGACTTCTCAAGTGGCTCCGTTGAGTGATAACTTCGGATGGAATCGAAACTGGGCAGGATTCTATTATTCCATGGATTTTGGATTTGGATTAGTGAACGCTTATCAATTAGTTACTTTAGCTAAAACGTGGACAAATGTGCCTGAAATGGTATCATGTGGTATACGTATGCCTAATGTGAGGTAAATATTCTAAAAATTGTATAAAATGTACGACATCAAGCATACTTCGTAAATGTTATTGTTAGAGACTTAATTAAATATTTATAGTAGTTAATCATGTGTAATTTCAATTGCGTAAAATATTTTTTAAACCAAAAACCTTTTAACTAAATTCTAAATTGAACAGTGATACAATAATTTACTCCACTCTGGTTAATCACTTAGAGTCACTATAATTGAAGAATATATTAGTCTTTAAATTATTTTATATTTTCACAATTTCATTTAAAATAATTTTACAGGGACACAACTGTAACAAGAAATAATGCTGTACGTATAACTGTGTATTCAGATGGCTGTGAAGGATTGTCCGGACATGTACGGTATATGGAATACGTACAACTAGTAGTAACAATGACTTACCCAAAAAGAGGAGATATTCAAATAGCGATGAAATCACCTTTGGGTAATAATATAATTTTTGTATAAATAATTTAATAACTATTAATATTACGTTTTTTATATTATAAGTATTTAGTGTCATTTTAATTTTAGCCAGAAGTTTTTTAGTCAATAGAAAATAATTTTACAATTATTATTTGAAAGATTAGAATAATAAATAATATATCAAGATCACATATGGTTTTATAGATTAAAGATTGAGTACTTATTTTATTTTGGGTTGTTCATTGAGTATTAAACAATATTCTCAATTTAATAGTATAGGTTTGGTTCCAATTGTTCCATTTGATCCATTTTTAAACATGTATGAATATTAAGTCATATTATCAAAAATTCTAACACAGAGACGTTAACGCAATTAATGTAATTATTGCTTTATTTTTTTTTTAGTGTAGTTTTACTTTATTGGCACTTAAATTTTGTTTTATGAGGGCATAATTTTGTTGATAAAATTATGGGGGTCACCTATTTGGGACTTAAATATGTAGGATGTAGCTAGATTGGCAACTGCAGCTACTCATGCTGAAATTATTACTTTATTCGATATGTAAAAAAAAAAAAATTAAATTTTATTAGTTTACGTATATTAGTATATTTATACATACATATATATTTATTTATTCGTAGGAACGGAATGCCACGTGTTAGAAAGTCGACCAAAAGATTTTAGTAGAGGTGGATTGAATAGGTGGACTTTTTCAGTACTAGCTTTTTGGGGAGAGTCTCCTAAAGGGAATTTCACCATTGATATTTTTGATACGGTAAACGCACAAATTATTATAACTTACTACAAATTAAATACAATTAAATACAAAATAAATGTTATATTTTATTTATAGACCGGAGTTTCATCTAATAGTGGTAAGATTCAAGAAATGACATTATCTATACATGGAACTAAATATCCACCGAAGATCTACGAAAATGGTCCTCGTCCATACGATGCATTTGAACTAGCAAAACCAGTCAGTATTCATTTTAAATATGAATAAACTTTTATTTAAATGTAAATTGTGTCTTATAGGGTGATGAACCAAGATTTGTTAATCTTTACGATAAGTCAGTAAAAAGTATACAAATACATGAAGGTAACGATGAACGAAATCAAGTTTCTGACGTGACTAATATACCAATTCAAAATCAGGACGATGAATTCAAACGAGGCGCTGAAAATTTCAATGAAATAAATAAAAATATACAAGATTTAATCATAAATATTGAACAAGAAGTTGATAAGGAAGAACAATTAGTTTTACCAAGTATTATATCAAATATAATGCATTCATTTGCAAATAACTTTGTACGATTTTAGAATTCAAAAATCAAATTATGTTTAAAAGCAGTGAAAATGATTATCAATGGATAAATTAATATACTTACAACATTCACAAATCATATATTTTATTTCTTAAATTTATTAATTTATCTTAAAATTTTAAGTAACTCATAATTAGTAACTTATGGTTAAGATAGTTTTATAGTAGCGTTTCATAAACAATGGTCCACGACCCTTTAGGGGTCTGCGTATACACCGAAGGAGATTCAGTGAAAGTAAACTAAAAAAATATTATGTTTAAAAACGAAAATACCAATGTAATATTCATACTATAGAAGAAATATACTTTTAAATATAAGGAAAAATATGCTTTTTAAACATCATAGTTTTGTGAAAAAATATTTTCTGCCCATGTGTATACCAAAAATAAATATTGAAATCAAAAAGCTGAATCAGATTTATGAATATTATCTAATATAGATCCTAATATACTCGTTTTAGTGTCTCAGAAACACATAATTCATCAGATTGAACCTTTATTTTACTAATTATACCAATTATATATTTATCCATTTACTTTTTATTAATCATTCAATTTTATTACATAAAAATGCGCACATTTAGTTAAAAAACAAAAAAAAAAAAAAATGAAGCAATACATACGTTATGATTATTTATTATAGTTTATATTTTTATTAAGGGATCAGCAATCATTATTACTATCCAGTGGCGAATTCTAATTCTGATGTATGGGTATGCTCATTTATCATGTTTTATAGTTATATTTAATTTATAATTAATAAATAATACACAAATTTGTATTAATTTATTAATAAGACTTTAATTTAATATATACAATAGCACTTACTTAAATAATATTTAACGAACAAAACAATATTGAAAAATAGCACAATAAAACAAAACGTAGAAAAATTGTCATATGATCGTACACGTACATTTTATAAATTACAACATTGACGAAGCGCAACAGAATGAGCATGCCCTGGGTAATAAATATCGCGGCTGTTAGTAAAGATGGTTTCGGAAAAACTGGTTTTTTACAGCGGTAACAAGCATCGTATAGTTTGCGCATACATTTATCGCATGCTCTGTCATTAAATATTATAAACAGTTATAACATAATGTTGTTATTATAATTGTATTACAGAATTATATTACATTATTGTGATACATTATGTTATTTTTAAATACATAATATATTATTAATTATAAAATAATTTTTGTATTTTGATTATTAACCTTTTTATTCCTAAGCATGCCTGGAGAATTCGCCACTGTTACTATCTCTAAGGCGAAGGAAAAGGTTGGGAAATGCAGTTCTAGAAAATATGATAATTATATTTAATATTAATAAATTTGACATATAACTATTATATTTATTGTGCTCAAATTGAAATTAAACCATTTATTTATTATTTATTAGCATTTTTATGTATCACAATAATTGAATAAAAATATTTTTACGTTCGACGATTAAAAATTATAATAGGTTATTCAATTTTATGAACATAATAGTAGATAGACTTATAAAACATTTGACTCCTTTTCTTTTAATTCAAAATAAACTAAAGAAATATTTAAATTAATAAAATCAGATAAATAATCTAAAACTGGTAAGAATAGCTTGTAAATGAAATATAGATAACATTTTAAAGGGTTTGTCAGCTTAAACTTTGATAAATCTTACAATTTTTAAAAGTTTTGAGAACTTCCAACCAAGATTACGAATTTTAATAAATAATTTTAAAACACAATTCAAATGTTTAAATTTGTTTTATTTGTAAATTTTAGTCTTTTGAAAAATTCTAGATAAAATTATTTTTACTAGATTAAATTTTCGATTAAAAGTCACGCTTCAATAGAAACTGTCGATGCATATACATTAAATCCTTACAAATCTTATAGATACGCAGTGTACTCTATAGAGTCGCATTGGTGATCAAGAATTAGTTCTACAGGTACCTAAATTCGTAAACGAGTATACATGTTTTACGATATTAGAGTCGAAAACAACAATATAAAATGTATATTTTTGAGTGTAAAAAATAAATTTGTAATCAACATTTGGCCAACATATTTTACGTAATCAACGTACGTCATTTTTTGACACGTGTACCATCATTGAATCCGTGTGTGCCGTGTTAATGCGCATACAAATATTATGCATGTATGAGGAGGACAATTTAAAATTACAACATGATCATATGGAAGTTAAATTAACGGACACCTAAACAAATACACGAGCAAACAGGAATCATAACGAATACAATACCACCGCAGCAGTCGCGATGTATGATATAAAACAGACCTAGGTTAGTTTCTGCGTTCATTTGAATATATATTAATTATTTTTAATTTCGTACGATTATTTTGCTCAAAACCACATGCAGGTAAATACAATAAATAATAATTAAGTATTATTAGCATTTTTTTTCGGTATAGATTTAAGTTGTAAATTGTAATATAGAGATTATACAATACGTATAGTGGATGTTCTAATATACATTTTTTCTTTCTCCGTCAGTAATACGGTAGGCATAATGCAAAATAGTTTTTAGAAAACATTACTCTGAGATTTCAAATGCTAACTGATCACCTATCTTCATTTAAAGTAGAAAAACTTTTATTTGATAGCTATTTGGACTCGGTTCAGAATTTTTTTTGCACAATATTGAATAAAGATATTACAATTTAAACATAGCAATTTAAGTACAATTTATGGGTAGTAATTATATTTATGTATACTATCTTCAAAAAATATTAAATTCAAAATTTTTTGTAATTTCAATGGTATTTTAAATCGTTTTTAATTATACAATTACTTAAAAAAAAATAAAACCGTTATTATTAATACACAAAAAAAAATCGACATGATTTTGAAATTGTGTTCAATGTTAAGGCTATAGTGTTAGCTATTTAAAAACAATACGGGCCCTAAGTAATTTTTAAATTTAAATGCATCAAATACTATTGTAATCTACAACCGTATTTAATAAAATAATATCATACTTTAGAATCACAATTTGAATTTTAATACACAACAATACTTCAACAAATATTATTACTAAAAAAATAAAAAAGATTAATATACATACAGGAAACCCGTGAAGGTGTACCATTATGTATGTATAATATTTACTATACAAAAATAAGTACAAAATGATATATGTATGCAATGAGTTCTAAAGAAATCGTATAACGGCACAAATTATAAAAATATTATTAAATGTTTGATATTTATGAGTTACGGTTCAAGTATTTTACATAAATGTAATCAATTACATAACAGTATAGTATATTGAGTATACACAATTGTTAAACCCGTGTGTATACAGTCAGAATGAAGGGTATTGGAAAATAAATCGTGCAGAGAGTCCGGTACAATATTCAAACAAATCGTATATATATAGCTCAATATATTTAAAACATATCCCGAACATATAGATTATATTTTAAAAATATAAATTTGTTATTTTCAATAATTTACCTTCATAAATATTTAAAAAAATTTAATACGTATAAGGTTCTTTTAAAGGGTTTTTTTTTAGTACAATTTTATTTGATTTCATTGATGTTTTCGATTTTACAAAAAATGTTTTCCGTAGACAACGAGAATATTATTATTTTAACTAAACATATATGATGTTCAAAATCTGTTTTATGATTAACATTTCGGGACAACTCAAATATAAAAATAATCTGCTCTAATATTTTTAGTAAATTATAGAAAATATATGTATACCGAGTATAGAAGATATTAATAAAATCAATAATATAATAGTTGAAAAAATGAAAAAAAATATTATGAGACGTTTAAGCGCATGTGCCTTATTTAAAGAATAAATATATTTACTTTTCCAAAATTCTCAAAGTAAGGTAAATAATATATAATTATATATCTACCTATATATATTAAATATTATAAATTATTAAATTCTAAATGTACCTAAATTATGTATGCGTCCTAAATTATGTTTCATTGAGTTAATTTTTTTTTACAAGTCTCTAATAATTTCTGAAGATGGATACAACTACACGATAACAAATTCATTTTATAAACACTTGTATAGAATTGTTTTTTTTTTTTTATCAACCAATTATTAATTCATCTGCTTCATAAAAAATAAAAAAATGACTATAATTTGAAATAAATTATTAAAAAAGTTATCACTGATAGATTTATTATGTATTAACACAATGGTCTTATGAGTTATGAATAAAATAAAATAAATAAATTATGCTACAAACATTAAAAATGCAACTTACATAAAAGAATTTTTTTGAAACATTATAAAATTAATCTTACACATTTAAAATTCGAAATAAACTAAGAAAATTCGTATTAGTTAACGTTTATTTATTTAGTATAACTGTATTAGACTTATATTTAAAATAATGAAAAATACATAAATTTAATAGTAGAGTAAATTCTATAAATGGTAAAGTAAAAAAAAAAAATGATAATAATTGTGCAACTATATCATAAATATCAACCATAATATATGTATATACTATTTACCATTTGATTTTTAAGATACGTGAAATTATCACGATTAATAATCTTGAATAACACGTTATAATTTATAAATATATAATATAATAAACTAACCTAACTTGTTGTTAAAATGTCTAAAATTATTCATCCTTCAATAAAGTGATGTACAAGTAGAAATATTCTATATCTTAAATTACGCGTGTTATGCTCAATTTATGCATAATGCAACAAATTCAAATAATAATAGGTTTTTTTATTACATGATTTCTCATGGTTTAGGGAAGATTAATATTAAACTATAATAACGTCGAAAAGAATTTCATTAGTAAGTCTCATATAGTTCATCTAATTCAATTAATCGAATTTTTTTCCGTTTTTTTAAACATTAGCTGCTCTAGTATCACTGTTCTAGTGACAATTATTTAGGATATTAATACGCAGTAGTATAAAAAAATACTATTACATTAGATGCTGTATAAAATTAATTACGTACTATAAAGTTATCATAAGTGTAATTTAATATATCTCTAAGATTATAGCATACGGTTTTACCGTTCTTTTTTAGAGAAAAATAATATGGGTCATGCATGTTTAAAAATATTTATTCATAGTTTTGGTTAGCATATAAGGCGGGAGTGAGGTATAAATAGTATACTGTGTCAAATGTTTTTTCGACTGGAAATATGACACAACATCACGAGAATGAAACATAATATTATGAATATTTTACACACAGGGATATGATGTCGATGATGTAAATAATAATACGATTAATAATTAAATAATTGAAAATCATTTATTATGATATTTACTGAAATTTCGTTTAAAATGTGTACCAGCGGTATGAGGTTAAAAATATACTCTACTTGTTTTTGTGTAAGCTACAAATATATTTTTTCTCGAGTTTAAATTAAAACAAGTAATGATAATCAATCTTTTCTTCAGAGAATTGTTGTTGAGTAAATTCAATTAAGTATTTAAAAATGAATATTAATGTTATATAATACCTATATTGATTGAGGTGATTTAATATTTTAGTATATTTCGAATAAAAACGTATAGGTATGTATTATAAACTTATAAATCATTACTTTAGAATAAATAAAAATTGTACTTATTAATGCATCCTCCGCATTATTATTTGTTGTTCAAGCTACTTATATCACTTAAGTTCGAGTAAAAAGTTTTAAAAAAAATAAAAAATATCATGGTAAAACAAAATAATTTTAATCGCCTGGTTTAACTTGTCTATGATAAAGTTTAATAACAATTAATTGTCTTAATTATATTATTTAAGATATTAGCTTATCATTAAAATTAATAATCATAATATTGAAATGATCATATATAAATATGTATGAATATATTTTTTAATTAGAATAAAATGTATTTATATTCAATTTTTATTAGAGTTTTAGTGTAGACATGAAGTAGTGTTAAAAATATTTTCATATTTACTTATGTTATACAAATGAGAATGTGAACTTTTATCGATATTATAAATAAAATAATTATGTTCCACGGAAAGTTACTTTTGAAAAACAATTTCAAGATCACTAAATGTAAAAATAGACATAGTTTTTGGCACCAACCCTTGTTTTTTTTATTCTTCCGATCCTAATAAAGGAGGAGCTAAGACAATTTAATTAAATGTCAATTATAAAAGGCGTTCGTAAATGCTCCTTTGTTGGGTATTAGTTGGATTTAATAATGCTAAAACGATTTCTATGTAACAAAATTGTAATAATAAATAAATAAACAAAAAAAAAATGTTACTATAGAATTTGTACGGATTTCATTGATTTTAGTATTAATTAGTAGTTTTTTTTTATATTTTTATTAATAATTACTTTAAATAGTAAAGTAAATAAATATATTTTTATTTTATTTGTAAAACAATTTTAATTTTGTCCATTTAAGCCTTCCAAATTCATTTTAAGTTGATTAAAAATAAAAATTGTTTGATAATTTTAAAAAGCTTGGTATAATATAACATAAAAGTAAAGGTATATAAAAAAATTATGAAATTTCAAGACTATCTTGAAAATAAACAACGTCAATTGTAAGCATTATTAACATACATTTCAGTAGAGACAATTTTAGAATAATTGATTTAAAAGTAATAAATGCAATAGGGAAATAATAAGGAGCCAACAATTTTCTTGTAGAACCAATTTTGTTGTATCGATTATTTTTAGATGTATTATAATCATGTTTTTTTATTAGAAATTTGATGTAAATTTGCAAACATATTACTATTGAATTTTTCAAACAATGTAAATGTATTTTTATTTTATTAAATGAAGTGAGGTATATATTGTTATACAATCATGGTTTTATTTTTGTTAAAATATTTTCTTTATTGCAAGACTGTAGATAAAATGTTTCACACAAATTTGATGAAAAATTAAACGTAAAACGTATTTGTCAAAAGTCGTTTTTAAATTTTTTTATTTACTGTTCTATATATTGAAAAAATGAAAATTACTAAAAAAAAAAAAAAAAACGAAGATGGAATTAGCTGAGTTTAAAATAAAGTATCCTAAAAAATGTTTTGATTACTATGATGATCGATGTCTACGCTAAATAAATTTTTTTTATAAACGTGTTTTATTTGTAAAAAAAAATTAATAATTCAATCTGCAATATCATTATTTTAAATGAAATTATGTCTTAACTAGTTGTATGAAATTTTTTTTTAACATTTAATGGAGTTATCTAATATATAGAAAAATCCATATTTTCATAAACCGCAAAAATATATTGTTTCATTGAATTTATTTTATGTCATTAATTTATGTTCATTTGAAATTTAATAATTATTTTTAATATTTATATGCTTATGATATATTTATGTAGAAATTTAATTTACAAAGAGTATATAAAATGTCATAT